TCCATTAAAACATTTGAAACGTATAAACAAGAAAAAGCAATATATTACGCGTTATGTAAAATTACTAAAATGGAAAGTTGATGGTAATTTTATTTATATTATTCTAGTCAGACTCTCCTAATTTCAGAAAAACAAAATTACCTACGTGTTTTTCTATTCGTTCTATTCGCATTCACAATTGTAAATCCAATTATTAATTAATGTTTACGCAATATTTGTATGTTACATCTACTTATTCTTATCACTGACATTGTGTAACGTTATAGTAACTAAAAATATAAAAAAAAATCAATTGCATTTGTAAAACTCAACAAATAGTGTAAATATTATTTATTATTTAACTTCGTTAGTTTATAATAAAATGTTACCAAGTGTCGGCTGTGTCTCCATTTATTTATCGCACCAGATAATTAATGATTTTAATTGATGCAGGCAACTCAATTCACGCGCATTTAAATTAAAACAGTACGGAAACAGCCAACTCGAAACTTTTATTCGATTCTCGTTCGATCCTCAAATTATCAGGAGTGAAATTATTTATTATCTTTATTACAAATTTCCTAGAACTAATTTTTAACAATCGTACTATTATGGTTAGCATACATTTTAGATCGCATAGTGTGTCTGCTACTGTTTACTTAGCAACGTTTCGTTGACTTTCACAATTTCAGAAAAATATTGCGAAATGGATTTTCACTGTTGACGCACTTTGACTTTTTTTTAATCGTATTCAAATGTCAATGTTCCGTATCTAAGAAATAAGATTCAAATGAATCAATTTAGAAACAAAATGTGAACATTATAATTAACATCAATAAAAATAATTAACATCATCGGAAATGTTAATAGACCTGATGACCGAGCACTTCGATAATTTAAAGAGAAAACAATTATTTTAATTATTAAGAACAAATAATAACGAATAATATTAATTGCATTCCGGTTATTATCCCGAGATCGCGTGATTCGCGTCTAGTTTGAGATAAAGAAAACCTGATTGAGTCGAAAATATTAATTGCGAGTTTATTAATAAAATAAGAAATTGCTATTACTCAATATCAATGTGCTAATGGGTGCAATTATTGATAACTGCAATTATCTACACAAATTATTCGTGTTTTCTTCTCCCCGCCACAACCGCAAGATGAAAACGTATAAGTGTTTAAGTTGTTTTTTGGAATTTAGTACACACTATACTCTCTCCATTCGAAGACCAACAAACGTAGAAACGTTTAGGTAAGTTGTAAAATTATTTATTCATGAGTTCAGAGAAATCTTTACAATCCGTTTATATACAGTGGAAACTCGCATAACGAGTTTAATCCGTTCCAAAATTTCCGGATATTTACTCGTATGTTGAATATATATAATGTGTACACAAGTTTTAAAAATCATGTAGCAGGCGCAAAATCTTCTCATCGTCGCTCATTAAGCGAGTAATTTTTCTTACAATTCATTTTGCTTGTTAAGCGAGGTTCCACTGTATTTGCAAAGTTAGTTTATTATTTTATTCTTGCGGATATTGTTAAGTTTTTCTAACTCATTTTTAAAGGTCTTTTAATTTGCTTTAAATATCTGTTTGCTGTGGTAATGGATATTATGTGTTGTAACTAGGTGAAGCCTGTATTCGTAACCTTGCATACCCTACGTTTTTCTTATATAACGATGATCGGATTGTTGCTGGTGATTTTACTTGCGATTGTGACGACCGTCCGCATCGCGAAGATCCTCTGGTCGAGACGTGCCCTCTACAAGATATCCAAGCAACTGAACGGGCCGAGACCGTCACTGCCCTTGATCGGAAATGCTCTCATTTTCGCCGGAGACACCAGCCGTGAGTTGTAATTTGATGTTGCGCACGAATCCTTTAGTCTTCGCAATCAAATCTGTACAATTACAAAGCAAAAAAAAATATTACACATACATTCAATTGAATAATATTTAAATTTAACTTATTCGCAGTACATTTCGAGCGCATCCGATCATGCATCAACGCTTATCCGCACCCGATGAGACTCTGGCTCGGTCCCAATCTGCTACTGGTTTTCTCCGATGTCAATCACGTCGAAGTAAGAAAGAGTTTGCAGAATCTTGATGATCGTTGTGATTTACCGCTCACATTTTCAGAAAATCCTCTCCACAACCAAGATGACGCACAAGAGCGACCTTTACGACATCATGAAGTATTACGTTGGTAACGGTCTCATCACCAATTCAGGTAACCTCGATCCAAATCCAATTCAATATCCGAAATGATTAGCATCGTTTCTGTAGGGCCGCAGTGGAAGCACGATCGCAGGATACTGCTGCCGCTCTTCAACACGAACTTCCTTAAGACATCCTTCGACTCGATGCAAGAGCACAGTGTGAGTTTCGTTCGAGCGTTCGAGAAGTTCGTCGGCAAAGGTTACTCGGACATCCATCACGAGGTGCACTGCCTCAACTTCGACATTATCGGAGGCAAGATTGTTTCTTTTTCTCTCCAAAAAATAATAATAAATAAATTGTTGTTTAACATTTTGCAGAGATCATCTGCGGCGTTAAATTGGACACCATAAATGGCTCCAACCTGGACGTCCTTCACGCAATGGAAGAGTACGATGCGTTTAAACCTGCAAACATAATTCGTTATAAATGTATTCTTTTCTTAGTATTTACGATAACATTTTCTCTCAAATGGTGAAGCCGTGGATCCACAGCAAAATCGCGTTCGATTTGTCGCGTTACAAGAAGGAACGGTCGAAGATCATGACGACCATCAGGCATATGGTAATGAACACCATCGAAAAGTCGAAGGAAAGAGTTAAAGCCGATCCGGAGATGTTAGACGGAAGCGATAATTTCGTGCCGATCATCGATCAAATACACATGTTACCAGACGTTCAATTGAATTCCGACCATAAACTACTTTCCGATCATATTATGACACTATTCGCAGCGGTAAGTTCAATTACAATAATCACGCGTGTTTTCGTACAATCAATTTACTTGACTTATTGATGTTTTTCCAAGCAAAACATTGAAATAAACAAATTACAAATTAATTGTGCAAACTTTGATTTCAGAGCGAAGATACAACAACCATAACACTCTGTACAACATGCATGTGCTTCGGGATGTATCCCGAATATCAGGTAATCAAATCGAACTAACTTCTTCTTTTACTTTTTTTTCTTTACTGTAATTTGTTTTTTTTTTTTAGAAAATTGCAGCTCAGGAGGTTCGCAGAGTTTTCGGCGATAAACCGAGAGCCGTCACTTACGAGGATCTGTCGGAATTGAAGTATTTGGAGATGTGCATCAAGGATTGCCTTCGTCTGGCGACGATAGCTCCGATCATTTTACGCAAATGCACGGAGGATTTCGAAATCGACAAATGGACGATACCGCAGGGCGCTAACGTTCTCCTACCGATCTTCGAGATCCATCGGGATCCCGCACAATGGCAGGTACCGCTGCACTTCTATCCCGATCATTTCTTACCGGAAAACGTAGCCAAAAGACATCCGTACGCCTATCTGCCATTCAGCATGGGACCAAGAGGTTGCATTGGTAAAGCGCTCGCTCTGCAGATGCTGAAAATCGAGTTGGCCAATCTGCTGCAGCACTATCAGTTCGAGTGTGACGGAAAATTCCCGGATATCCGGTTGAGGAACGACATCTCGGTGCGGCCGATCGACGGCTACAAAGTTAAGGTCTTCAAGCGGATATGGGACTGAACAGCTGAAACTAAACTTAATTTAAATTATTTAATAACATGTAACTTTTGTACTAAAACATAAATAATACATTTGTTTGCATACGTTTATCAATTTGTTGTAGCCTTTTCCATCCACCAAAATATCTTTACTAGACTTTCGTGCATTAGTTGAGGTGAAGGTTTTCACTTTTCGTGACTTATCATATTGATGGATGACAAATTTGTCAACGTAATGTCAATGACTTACTGTAGTCAGGGCGGCATTATTGGATCTAGATCTTGGACCTGATTACGTAACAATTCTGAATAAAATTTTACTTTGAAAAAGCGACGTCATCGTATATATGTTTTTTATATTTTTACTTATAACAGCAAATTCATTATCGAGCAACCAAATTAAAACTAAATAAAACGTATGTACTTATGTAGTTGTAACGTTTTTTAAACATCAGTGTATTTACATTTACATTTTTGCTCATACCTCGAAAAGTAAGCACGACAAATTCATTATCAAGCAAACAAATTAAAAAAAAAAAACTAGAAAAATCGTTCTTAAAGAGGATTGTGATGTCGATAGTCATTTAAGTGAATCCGGTTTAGGTGATTAAGTAGATGAATTAAGTATTGTTTTTCTACTTTAGAAAATAGAACACAATTTAACATAAACGATGACATGCATGCAATCTGATAATTGGATGCGGTTTGAAAATGTTTTGCACGTTGCGTGTGTCGTGTCGGCAATTGGCAATTTCAAACAATCAGCGCCAATGACGAAATTGGCTCGATTTCTTCTACAACTACTCCAATTTTGCATTTCCTTTCATAAGCATTAAGAAAAAATCCAAAATATTGAGACAATTGATGATTTCGAGATTTCGAATATTTCAGATAACGATACCGAAACAATGCGTTTCAGATATAATAAATTGTGTATTATATACATGCAATTGCACGTTTTAAATAAATAATGTATTAAGTGCAATTAGTTGCCAATTTGTTGATGATCAGCTTTGAATCAATCTACGATAAAATAGTACAACTACTATTATAATCATCTCTGTCTATAGTTTATCCAGCCGATATTTGCTTAGTTACAGCGGCGGGGGAAACCCTTATCAACTGTAACCAATAAACAAAAACAAAGTACGGACGTTTCCAATACAAGTGTATATATATATAAGATGTCCGAGTGGCAAACTGCAATCGTTGTTTGCTCGTGTTCGCAGATTGATGCGCAATCGAAGAGAATATTCAAAATAATAAATAATCATGTGGGATTTGGTAGCGCTTTTCGCGCTTTTGGTGTTCTTGATCAGATACTATTTGAAAAATACTTACAATTACTGGGAGAAGAGGAAAGTTCCATGCCCAACACCCAAATACATCTTCGGCACGCTGTACGATTCGATCGTGATGAAGAAATCTTTGGCGCAGATCTATTACGAACTCTACAAGTAAGTAGAATTACCCAACAACAATACTGCAACTTCTTCTGTCACATCATGACAAACGCAAAATTTGTTTTAAGACTTTGTTTATATCATGACACTCTTGACATTTATATTTTATATATTATATTGTGAACACACACAAATTTTTGACACTTTGAAATGTGTCACAGTACACTGGATTTTACTATTTTCTTGTGAATATGACTAAATTTTCAATATATAACACATTTAACAGTGTGCTGTTAAGAATTGCAATAATTAATTTAATTTTAATTGACGTTATCATCGCAGCAAGGCGTTGACTGAAGAGATATGTAATTTGTTGATTGCCAAGGAAACAACATCGTTTTTTTTTACAGACGTTTATTTTTCCATAAAATTTTGTTTTATGTAATAATGTAATTGTTTCTTTGTGGATGATAATAGTAATTAATAATAATTATGTTAAATACATGTATTTTATTAATTTTTGTTTGGCATAGAAAAGTATAGGTCTGCGCAAGGTTTCAAACGTATCGTAAACAAATTGAAAACAATGCAATTTTTAATAATTTAATTATAATAGAGTTGGAGATAATTTAATTACTTCTTTGCGTTGTTAAAATTTCGAAATTGGTTTATTGATAAAATTATTATGAAATTGATACATTGAAACGATTTGTAAATCAATCGATTACTGTTAATATCTCTGCTTAGACGTTGCTAATCAGTTGCATAATTACGAGGTTTTGCAAATGGATAAGTTTGTTTCGTAAACTGATTTTCGATTGTGCGCTTTCAGCCAATACCCGGACAGCAATTACGTCGGTTTCTACAAGTTCTTCAAGCCGGGAGTGGTGATCCGCAACCCGGAGATCATCAGAGACATCGTCATCAAGGAGTTCAGCTCCTTCCACGATAATGATTTCTATTTAAGCGAACACGACGATTTCATCTTTGGAAATAATCCGTTCGTTCTTCGCGGTCCCAAATGGAAGGTGGTGAGGAGTCAGCTGAGTCCGAGCTTCACCAGCGGAAAGGTCTGTCTTTTTTTTCTGTTGCTTTTGCGAGAACAGTTTCTTGACTGTTGATTAAATTAGGTGAAGAATATGGCACCGCACGTCATCGTTAATGGAAAGAAGATGTTGAAGTACATTGAAGAAACGTGCACCAATGACGTCGCCTGCTTGGAGATGAAGGATTTAGCGACGCGATTCACTAGTGAGAACGTCGCCAGTTGCGCCTTCGGCCTCGAGGGAAACTCCTTCATCGATCCCGACGCCAAATTCAAGGTGATCGGAAGACAACTCACCGAACCTTCCTTCATCAGCGGCTTGAAGATGGTCCTCATCATGGCCGTTCCGATGATGGCCAAAGTATTCAGAGTCAAGTAAGTTAATTTCACTAATCAGTTGTTTATATAACAACACAAGTCAATAACTAGAAATGTCACATTTCGTTCAAGTTTCGCTGAAAGTCATGTTATTACCAAAAATTGCGATAGACGTAAGTAAAAGACATTAATGATCTTAAGTAATTTTCAATAAATTCTAAGATAATTTTAAAGTTTAATCAAATTTTTTAAATTGTATTTTCTTTTTGATAGGTTTTTCACGGATGATGTGACAGCTTTCCTGAAGAACATCGTCGTGGAGACGTTGAAATACCGCAAAGATAACGGGATCTTTCGCAACGATTTCCTCGACTTCATGACTACTCTGAGGGCGAAGATCAACAACGAGAAGGAATTCAACGAGAACGAAATCACTGCTCACGCTGGTGGTTTCTTCATCGATGGATACGAGACGAGCGCCATCGTCATCTCTTACGCTCTATACGAGATGGCCGCAAACCCGGAGGAACAGGAACGTCTGAAGGCGAACATAGATGAAGTTCTGGAAAAGTACAACGGCGAGTTGACCTACGAGGCCATACAAGAGATGGAATATTTGGATCTGGTGCTTAAAGGTAGACGTCATCTCATGATAACATTTCGATAAACTCCACTGCTCGATAATGTTTAATTGCAATAATCTAAAATTTTCCTATTTTTTTTTGTATTTTGCGCAGAGAGTCTCAGGAAGAACGTGCCGCTGATGGCGCTGTCCAAGATGTGCACGAGACCCTTCAAACTTCCCCCGGCTCGAGAGGGTGGACCAGAGGTCGTTCTGCAGCCCGGTATGCCGGTCATCATACCCGCCTGGGCTCTGCACGTAGATGAGAAGTACTACCCGGAACCGGACAAATTCATACCGGAGAGATTCGCCGATATGGACGCTATTCCTAAGAACACGTACATGCCGTTCGGAGATGGTCCAAGGATGTGTCTGGGAATGAAGTTCGGGCAACTGCAGGCCAAAACCTCTTTGGCCACCATCATCAGAGACTACCGCCTGGAGGTGGACAAGACTCAAACGTCAGAACCTCTTGAAATGGATCCGAGGTTCTTCATGCGCTCGGCCCGTAACGGCATATGGATCAAGTTGAACAAGCGAAAACCTTAGCCTAATAATATGTAGTTAATATCTAGTCTAAACATAAGCGAGTCTATAAATAGAATTAGAATATAATGTAATTTCAAGTATTATTATATATACATATATAATTGCGCGTAAAATAAACACGAAACTGGAACGAGATAATTCGAAGGTGTTCGCTATTTCTACACATCCATATAAAAACAACGAACGTACCCTACACGTAACCATAGAAACAATGGTATTCCTGAAGCTGTTCTTAATCTTAGCCTTCTTGCTTTACGCGTACGCAGACCGTAAGTCAAATTACATTTATTCAAAAATTAATTACTAAAAACTATTTGCAAAAGTGATCCCAAATGCGGAGCTCAAAGCGAACGTCCACAATTCCCTGACGCAAGCCGGGAAGTTGGCTCTCGTTCAGCTGGTCAACATTCTCTTGGAGCTGGTGAAGGTCTTGGATCAACTGTACGCAGTCGGCAGCGGCGCCATCAATCAAACCCTCATTGCCCTCATCAACGCCATACAAAATCTGTAATCAACAGATTTACAAATAAACATACAACTTTGATATCTGCAAGCAATATTATGTCTCTTCTGCAATCTAAGTGTTTTCTTTCTAAAATTCATCACAAATAATTTGTGTGTGTATATGTGTTGTTTTTGTTTACTTTTCTTTATTTTTGTTATTTAATTGAGCGATAACTGTTTCAGTCAGATATTTTCCAGGCGACCTTTGACTCCTCGTAAGCGCCGAACGCGTGCATAATGTAAATAAACGTATTAATAATAATTCCTAAAATAAATCAATCAACATCGACCGACCAAAACATTGAATTTATTTGGTAATTTTATCTCTTGATTATGCAAGGAAAGAGCATGTGTACTAGTAGTACGTAATTATAAATTGAAACTTTGACAGTTATTACAAATGTCAGTTCAAAAAATTTGAAATGTCATTTTTTTAAATTTTCATTGCGTTATTACATTTCTCTTAACTATTGAATGTGCAATAAATAATAATTGATTGTTAATTATCTCCGAATCGCTTCATAATATCATATGTCATTCCTTATGACAGTTGATTCGTTAATTATGACAGTTTCGAATCTAACTTACAACGTAGAAATTATATAATTAAATAGAGATTTACTATATTCAGTGTAATTCATCTGACATAATTACTACGAACGTCAAACTGACAGTTGTTATATAACCTGTTAGAAGTGCAGAAATAGAACAAGAAACATACAAAATATTATAAGTATATATATATTATTATTTACTTCCTAATTGGATGCAAGTGAAAGAAAATCTTTTAAGCTTTTATAAACAAAGTTACGACCATGATTTATTTTTCGAAACAAACAAACGGCAATAAAAGATCGAATACCTGTGCAAATTATGCTGATGGCATTGAAAATGTTATATAAAATTTTAAAAAAGTACACGCAATATGATGTGGTCATCTTATCTGAAGGTAAATTTGATAAGAGTGAAAGCACACAAACGCATTTCGAGAATTACCAAAATCCGCTCAAGGAAAACAATCAGAGATAATTAAAATATGCTAAAATTTGTTGTATAAAAACGCGATGGAATGCCAGAAACGATGTACAGAAAGGTATTCAACTCATCCGAGAAAGTTAAACTCTTATCGCCATGGCAAAACTTTGTTTCCTTTTGGCCGCGCTCTTCGTGTTCTCGACCATCGCCTACGCACAGGCAGAACGTAAGTTCAATACAATTAAGTTTAATGCATATTTTGTAATAATAATTTTCATTTGTAGCCGTTCCATCCTTCGATCTGGCCAGATCGCAGAGATGGTTGATGGAGAAGAATGTGCGCGCCTCAGATGTGGAAAAAGTTCCGGAAACAACGGAAGTGACACCCGGTGAGTCGACTGAAACGGAAGAGACTGGGGGATTCCTACAATCCCTGAGGAAGGCAATCTTTTTCATTCCGAAGATGTTCCTCAATTCGGTCCTAAGAATGATCGAGGCAATGTTGAAATGGATGAATTAAGTGGACGATTAACGATGTAGTCACCAATCAATGAATCAATATACATGCTTCAAGTTAAACAACTTACATATTTCAATCTTTTGTTTTCGTTGTAACAATCCTCTCTGAAACCTGTCAAATATGTCAAAATCACTTATAATAAATTGTCAAGATCAATAAAGATTCTTTTTTTTTAAATAACCTTATTTTTACTGTCAAATGTTACACAAAAACAAATGCGGAAATTATTGATAATATCGCAGCAAGCATTAGATAAAGGCGATTGCATATATCAATAGTCCTTCGTGGATGATTGAAGAAACGCAGGTTATAAGAAACTTGACAATTTTCCTTCGCTATTTCTTTTCTTACTTTATTCATATTTATTCATATTATTTTTTTTTCTCTTTTCCTTCTCGAATTCCAAACAGAATGACCTTAATTCTGCGTTCACTTTTGCAATTTGCATCGCGACGGTGGAAATCAACGGAGTTTTGCAAATATATGTATAGGCGAATGGGGAAAAACGAAAATAATTTCACTTGTCGAGATAGAAAATCAAGCAGAAAAGAAAGAAAACAAACAAACAAGAAAGTTCGGTAATTTCGGTTGAACTAATACAAATAGAAGTAGGGAAATACAGAATTTATGAACGTAGTGCACTGTTAATTAATTCGTATCGAATTTGATTATATAATCGAATAGTTTATGTTCGCATTCCGCGCGAAACGCATGGACAAGATGAAAACTGTCGAGCTGCTCGTCCTGCTGATCACTGCTGTCATCCTTCCAACAACGATGGGAAAGCAGATTCCTCAAAAGAAAGGTAAGTTTTTCGAATTTCAAAATTTGATTAAAAGTTTCAAAAATTTTGTACACTCTTTAAGTGGCATTTGTATAATAAATCTAACTTGTATTTTGTGAAGTAGATTTAATGTACAATTACTTATTTTTCTTGGTATCAAATCTCATATCTTTTATTTGCAATTTTAAGAATAAATCAAATTATATTTATTCTCCAAATTTTATAATTATGTAACTTTAATATTTCCCTATAATTATTTTAAGCTACAAATGGTAATGACGTCCGTTGTTATCTGGGTTGTCATGGTTAAAGAGTTGTCAAAGTGAAATATGTAAAATTATGTAACGTTATAATATTTCCCTATAATAATTTTAAGCACCAAATGGCAATGGCGTTAGTTGTTATCTGAATTGTCATGGTTAAAGAGTTGTCAAAGTCAAATATGTCAAATTATGTAACATTAATATTTCCCTATAATAATTTTAAGCAACAAATGGTAATGACGTCCGTTGTTATCTGGGTTGTCTTGGTTAAAGAGTTTTGTCAAAATCAAATTTGTCAAATTATGTAACGTTATAATATTTCCCAATAATAATTTTAAGCAACAAATGGCAATTGCGTCAGTTGTTATGGGTTGTCATGGTTACAGAGTTGTCAAAGTCAAATATGTTAAATTATGTAACGTTAATATTTCCCTATAATAATTTTAAGCAACAAATGGCAATGACGTCCGTTGTTACCTGAGTTGTCTTGGTTAAAGAGTTTTGTCAAAATCAAATTTGTCAAATTATGTAACGTTATAATATTTCCCTATAATAATTTTAAGCAACAAATGGCAATGGCGTCAGTTGTTATGGGTTGCCATGGTTACAGAGTTGTCAAAGTCAAATATGTCAAATTATGTAACGTTAATATTTTCCTATAATAATTTTAAGCAAAAAATGGTAATGACGTCAGTTGTTATCTGGGTTGTCATGGTTAAAGATTTGTCAAAGTCAAATATGTCAAAGTCAAATATATTAAATATGTCAATGTCAAATATGTCAAAGTCAAATATGTTAAACTTAAATATTTTTTATTAAATTGTCTTAGGTTTGGCTGAGAGCGGTCCGGAGCTGATAAACTCGGAACTGTCCGAGCTGATACTCCATCAGCGTCAGATTCTGGACGACACGAATCTGACGGTTGTGGATCTGGTGAAGGGGACGTTGGGCAACATCGTCGCCTACTTTAAGAACTCCCTGGGGAAAGTGTACATCTTCTGGAGAGATTCGCTGACGAACGTCTTCTCCGTGGGCAGTCGACTCGGCAAGAACACGTTCACGATGCTCGGCTACGTGCCCCGTCTCATCTTCAGGTCGATAGTCGCGCTCATCCGTATCGCTCAGCTCACCTTCACCGCTCTGATAGACGGATGCGTGGGCCTCCTCGACGTCGCCAACAAAGTCTCCAAGTACAGCAAAGGCTATTACGAGACTATAGTGGCGATCATCGCGGAAATCCAGAGCGACAAAAACATGCTGTTAAAAGTATAAAACGAACAACAACAACAAAAAAAAACGTGTTTGATTTGCTTAATTCCACATTAAACAGACTTACAAATTTTTATCTTAATTCTAAACAAATAAACCGAAACGAAGGCGAAAACTAAATTCCAAATTTAATCAAGAACTAACATCATCATCATCACAATGAGTCTCACGAAATTCTTACTCCTCTGCACCGTCTCCATCATCTTAATACAAACCTCTTCAGTTTCATCAGGTAATCAAGAACACTAAATAAATCAATAATTAACACTGTTTAACTATTTCCAAAAGAAACCAGAGTAGGATCTGCACTAGATAAGGAGATTCAACCATTGAAAAGCGGATTATCAGGTGAAACACTACTTCATTTCAATTGACTTATTAACTAAATATTATTTTTTTCAGTTACTCCTGAAAACGTCTTCTCAGTCAGATCTAAATCGGGCAACGATGATAACTGCAACAAAACTGGAATAGTAAAGGTCACATTTTGGGAACTGCTGCTCATCATCTTCTCCAACGGCATCTCGATTCTCACGAGCGTCTTCACCGCAAACTTCTTAGCCGTCATCCCGAACGTTCTCAGAATCTTGCAAGGTTTCGTTCAATATTTCTTCGGAAAATAGCATAAACTTTACTACAATTACAATTTAACATAGTCTTAGTTACATTCTTCATTCTATACATTAACACTTAACGAAATTCATCGACAGTCATATTAATTTCTTAACTTTATGTACAAAGATAATAGTAAATAAATCGAAAAGTTTCGTAGTCAAAATATTAATATGTTTTACTTTAGAAACGTTTCTCTCTACAATAATGATATTTTAACTAAAGAAAAACTATGTAATGATTATATAAATTAGATAAATAAAAATTCCAAGAATTAATACGTTTATTTTTAATACTTTTACCCTGAATTAGTTTTAATTTTAATTTTAAACTTATTTTTTTAACTTTTTGTTTGAGTTTCGAACTCGCCACCTTCGTATTGCATCTTTTTTCTTTAACTACTTAGTAATTTTACTTAGCACTTAAGTGTCAGTTAACTACAACTTCATTAGCACGTCCGCGTTACAGGTTGCATAGATGGCATGATTTATTGCCGAGGAATGCTTTGGAATGCAATGCCATTGGTTTTTCTTGCGATCCAGTTAGAACACTTTCGATTTGAAGCGAAAACCAATCTGAGTAGATACATAACAAACAACTTGCGTTACATGTGCATCGAATAATCAAATGTTTTAATTTTAATTTTGATCGTAAGTTCTAAAATTTCAGGTAATTAAATTTCATTTACAAATTTAAATTTGATGCGCGGTAATTTTGTTTTGTTTTTATTTATGATGTAAACTTGAAGGAGAATGGGTTTTCTCTGGAAAATGTAAATATAGTAATTATTAGCTGAGACTTTAAACTCGTCTATGACTAAATTTTCTATTACAATAAAAAAAATTGAAACGCATTTTCCGATAATGGATTTTACTTGTATTTTCTTCAGTTTATCTTCAATTATGAATATTTAAATTCGTGTGTTTTTTTTGTTAAAGCGACAACAAAAAAAATAATCCAATCAATCGCCTAATTCTCAATTAGTAATCGCAGCGTGTACAAAACAAATGATTGTTTTCCATTTTAGCGTTTGTTTTCGTCCCACCGCCAACTGCAGCTTTTTCCCACCTTAGCCAATGCGTGGACTTTTTGTTCACCGTTCTTTTATTTATTTTTTATTTCCACGTCGTTTCGCCAATGGACCTTCGCGAACCGCGCAGTCTTTTCGACGCCTCGCAAACTGCACCAGCTAAACTAAACTAACAGTGCGTAACTTTTACTTTCATGCTCAATCGGCTACCTTCTTCTACTTCCATCTGCAGCAGGCGCTTAAATTAAGTTGCCAAAAGATGGTTTCGATAATGACGAATAGAGTGTCTCTTCTTTTGGTATTTGGACTTTTGATGGGAGCGACGTCGGGAAAACCGCAACTTCTCGCCGGACTTCTGAGCACAGTCTTCCAGCCGTTGGGTCGTGTCGTCAACGGCATTGCGGACACCACAGTTGGTAAGCGACGAAGAAGAGTTGACAAATCGTGCCGGCCCGACCGAAAACGTTTGTTACGCAAAATTTACGTTTTGAGCCTTGAAAATCGAATCGAAAACAGTATATAATATTAACAACGTTCGAATCGGTGAAATTTGAAAGAGAGTTTAAAGAGATCATACCGCACCGATTCCCACCGAGTTTCCTGGTGTTACGCAACACCAGAAAACCTTCCGAACCAATTAAAAACATCAATTAAGAGTCAATTGCGTAACACACGGAGGAAAAACGATCTTAATTGAAAAACTAATTTTCTTAAGATATTTGCTTCAATCGTTTCAGGGGTGGTCCGAGGAGGGTTTCAGCTTCTTAATGCAACCGTTTCCACGGTGATAACGAGCGCCGGTTCCGTCACCGACAGGATACGAAGGTTGCTCGAGGAGTTCAGGAAGAGGATGAACATCGGCATTCCCGAATTGGGTCTGCCCATACTCGATCCGCTCACCATCGATCGATTGGACATCGACTTCGAACACGAGGCTCTTTCGTAAGTGAACGATAACATTTAATCAATTAACTTTGTTCACTTGGTAACAAGAACAAAAATAAACAATTGCGTGGCAAGAACTTATGACAAAAAAAATTTAAACTAGTTGTATTTCTTGAAAAGTTTCACTTAAAACCGCGAAAGATCCTTCAAATATTTGTTGAAAAAAAGAATTAACAATAATAATACTAGAATTATCATTTTATAGTTTTACTAATTGAATTTCCTTGTTCGTTATATAAATGACATATTTACACAATTATTGTACACGGTTTTTACGTTAGTCACAAAACTTAGACTTTACACCCTTTCATACTTTATGATTTATTATTGTCATAAATTTGCATCTCTGTTCTGATTTGTAAAATCATAATAATTTCTTATGTCCATTTATTACAGAAAATTAAAAAATTAAAATTCTAATAAAAAAAATAATTAAATATCATAGTTGACAACAAAATCAATAAATGAAAAACTGACAATCAAAGCAAATCGATTTTAATGATAATTAATTAAACATCATTATTGACAGCAAATTAATTATAAAAAATGACATTTCATTTAAGTCCATTAATTAATTAAACTGTTTAAAGATAATTGTAGTAAATTGAGAATAGAATTGTGTAATATACTCAGAAAAGCAATTTAACACAAATTTACATTTAAAAACTAATATGTTTGCAGTTTTTTTTTTGTATGATAATTGCGTTCATTAATTTATATTTTATCATCTCGTGTTTTCTATTGTAACTCAATTTACATTTTAGTTAGTGCTACTTTTAGCATCTTTTTAGAGTAGTTTTTTAATATGAGATTATAATGAAAAGTGGATAATTGATGTAGATGATAGGAAATTTTAATTTGATGTTTTTTTAAAAGATTATTTTAATTATATAAGTAGTTGTAAGTGAAAATTGATAGTCAATAAATGATAATTGTTCTAGAATGAGTTTAGTAAGTTAATATTTGAATATATGTTGCAGTTTGCAATTTATTAATTTACTTTCAATGTGAAATCATAATGATCGAAGTAGGTGGAGGTCACAATTGACAGTAAATAAATGATAATTGCGTGAGAGTTTAGAACTAATTCAGTTAACTTGATAAGTAGTAAAGAGTGAAACAATGAAAGTGAAGTTAAATGAAGGATCTGCAACTTTCTCCCGTTTAGATTAGAAGTTTGCGTTCGATTTAATGGTGAGGTAACAAGAAGAAAAGAAAAGCGAAGGAAGTAAGAAAAATGTTATCTATAAGTCTCAATTAGTGAAGGCGTATAGTGTACGTATTTCGTTTCGAGTGGATGGTGATTGCCATTTAGGGGAATAAGCAGGGAAATGGCGTGCAGAGCGAAAAACCGTCGTCGCTCGGGCTTTCTAAATTTACCTCGAATGATATAATAATACGCGACAATCTGAAAAGAGGACGGAACAAAAAATCCGCGGCACGCGAACCGCAATTAACGAGTAGACATCAGCAAATAGGAAAGAACAAATTAAATGGAATTAAAGAGCTGTTCTGGCTGCACAAACATTCGACTCTCAAAGTCAAGGCGAAAAAGTTTTTACGTAATAATTCAACAATTATTATTGTACGTAGATTCATAAGATGAATGAATTTCGCATACGAATTGGTCGGTACGGAAACGCGCCGAAATCTCATTGGACGAACGATGATTGCACTTTTATTTTGTTTCGTTTCGAAGGTTGAAAGGCTTCCTGGAACATATCGAAATCAAGCATTTGTCTCGATTCAAATTGGATTACGTCGAGTACGATTTGAACAACATCCTCACCCTCAATCTGACGTTCCCGTTTTTGGATATACACGGCGATTACGATATAAAAGGATACTTTGGGAGCAGATACAGGATATACGGGAATGGTCCGTTCTGGTGAGAATGCTTCTTCCATCTAGTTGAATCAATGCTAACTATTGATAGATTTTGTTTTCATTTTCAAGGCTTAGGATATATCAACTGTCGGTGGGAACGGTCTCAGAATTGAGAAACGACGTGCGAAAACTTCCGGGAATCTCAGTGGAGAATCTGAGGATCAAAGTGAAATTGCAACGAATCGAGGTGAGAAACTGAAAGCATTTTACAAATTTGTATAAACATTTATAGTTCTTAGGACTCGCTTCGCTCGCTCATCTTATTTCTAAATTGGT